AGGGTGTTTCTCTTTGGAAGCAACTGGTGCTCCCTGACCCCTCTTTCCACTGTGCCCACCCTAAAGACACCAGAGGGACACTTCTGTGTCAGTGAACGTGCCTGCCACTGCCGGGACAGAGTCTCTCTACGAGAAGTGTCGTTCATGTTCATGGTCTGCCTGTGGGCATCAAAGAAAAGTTGAAGTTAGAAACTACTGGGGGCCTTATTGTAATTTACCTTCCCAATTAACATTTAACTGCTTTTCACTATGAGAATAATTTTCAAGTCAATCTTCATCCATATTTTATGAGAGTAAGAAAAGTTTGAAATTACAGCCTAGTGAATGTTTTCCTCTCATTTAAAAGCAACTTATCATATTATAGGGGTCTTACCTATAATAAGACATGATCTCATTGGTCCTACCTGTCTTGAGGTTGAGTCTTGAGACTAACGCTGTGCCAGTCAGCAGTATAGCTCTCCCTCTGAGCCTTGTTCTCTTCCCTCACACTGCAGCTCAGCTCAGCTCCCACCAGCACACCATTGCTCTTCTCCAGCACGGTACAGATTGGCATCTTCTCAGGTGCAGATAGATTTATCGCCTTGAGTGGGTCTTGTTGATCAGTCCTAAGGTAACAGGAAACAGTGATGCTTCAGTCGGCTTTACTTCTACTCTTCCACTATCTCTGTCCTTCTTAGTGCTGTCTATGTCCAGGCTTAGGGCTGTCCACAGCTTTTATAGATGCTCTGTTTCTATTTTGGATTCATGTTGTCACTCTACAATCAGTGTGCTTGGACATCTGACACCAAGTCCTCCGTGCCTCATTCCCCGACAGCTGGAAGTTTCCCTGCAGTGGGGTTCAGGGGGAAATACGGCTGAAAACCCCCTGATTCTCAAATTTAATACTGGGCCAGCTCTTGTAATCACTCAGCCCAACTGTTTCCACTTCACTTGTGATCACAGAGGGGGAAATATTACAGAAACTGTGGATGGAATAATGTAAACATGTACACAGGCAGAGACAAATGGTTTAGACTTAGCAGAGGAATCTTAATAAGATTATAGCCATGATATACACAAAGCAGCAAAGGAGAGCCAAGCGAAGCCAACCTTGTAGAGCCAGAAACTTCAGTAACTCAAATGTCAATTTGAGTTAGGCTCCAAGAGTTGAATGTTACAAGAGCAAACTTCAAACCATTTGAATTTTATAACCTTTTAAAGTTCATACAATTGGGGTGCGGCAGATTTAACTGACAGGTGACAGAGCTGTATCAATTAGCAATCTGTCAGGCTTCACTTCATCCGAGATGATTGTACTTTTTTTTTTGTGAAATTCATAATATTTGTTTTTAACTTTAACTTTTAAATTATTGCAGGACATATTTTATGATGTTGCCGTGTCTGACACCTCATGACTTCAAATCAAGTTGTGTAGAAACGTCTTGAGCTAC